TAAAAGCTTAAATCATTGGCTTTTTAATTACTATTTCTCTGTATCTATGGGCTAAAAAGTTAACCAGTAAGTATTGGACAAAATTTTTAAAAATACTTCATATTTTTATGTGTATGAGTGTTTTGCTTCTGTGTATGAGGACACCACATGTGTGCTGTGCCCTGCAGAGGCCAGAAGAGGGCGTCAGAACCCCTGGAACAGGAGTTACTGGCAGAAATTAGCCCACCCTGTGGGTGCTGGAAACTGAACTCAAAGTCCTCTGGAAGAATATCCAGTTTTCCTGACTGCTGAGCTGCCCCCGCCCCCGTGTGTGTGCGCACTACATCCCCAGTTAAGAATTTTAACCCCCAAGTTGGGAAATGACAGTGTAAAAAAAAAAGTGTAATTTTTTTCATTTTCTTGTCTGGTTCCCTGAAGTCTTCTGTAGGGAACATCAGGCTATCTCTGTAGCCGAAGCACTTTAGAAGAGTGGGGTTTAATAATGGTACTTCACGAAACAACTGAGATATCATTACCTGAAAATAAGTGGAGCCCATTGACTTGCCCTTTGAAATTAGGTACCCAGGAATGGTCAGCAGACATTTTCTTTGAAACAGCTCAGTCAGATTCTGATAACCAGTGACCAGCCCACTCCCCAGGGATAAACATAGGGTATTTTGGCTACTGCTCGGCCCTGCCTAGGTGAGGTGATGCAGTGGAAACCCTTTCTCTACTGTACGCTGCAAACACCCAAAAGTGTTCTGATAGGACTTGTATAGCCCCAGGAGTTTCAGCATGTAGATAAGGTGAAGTCCTGTGAACTTGAACTGAACCTGAAGAAAGGAGAGATTACGTGGGGGTCAGAGATCCGGTTTTCCTGGTAGCTGGGGAGGGGTCGGGGGGGGGGTTGTGTGTTTTGTGATACTGGCAATTCAATCCAGGCTGTCCTGCAAGAGTTCTCCCCAGGGCCTTTTAAAAATTTTTTTAATTTTATGTGTGTGGATGTAAGTGGACCCGTCTCATGCATTGTCCGCGATCGCAAGAAGGCGGCATCGGATCCCCTGGAACTGGCGGTGTGGATTGTTGCTGGCCAAGATGTGGGTGTTGGGAATCGAACCTGGATCCTCTGCAAGAGCAGCCAGTGCTCTGCCCTTAACCACTGGGCCATCTCCCGGGTGCTCTCCTTCCTCCTTCCCCATCCCCAGTCTGGCCTTAAATCCCCAGTGAGTGCTTAGACAAGCTCACTGAATCACTGAACTGGCCAGGCCGGCCGTGCACTTCTTACTCCTTAGGTTCCAGTCGCCAAGCACATGAGATTCCAGGACGTCCCGTATGTCATCACCAGTCCTGGTCAGGGTGCAGTTTTGTGCCATGGTTTCCCACAGCTCATTTATCCAGTTCTTCCTCTGACAAAATGAAAAGGCATCATAGGTGAATGTTCTCTATGATCAGAGGGCTGGACTAGCTGGTCTCTTGCTCTTCCGGTGTTGAATGTGAGTCTACCTAGTTCCCAACGTTGAGCCATGTTGCCCCCATTGCCTTGCATGTGGAATTAAAATGGTACATGATAATGTCCCCCACTGACAGTTCCAACGAAGTTCGATCTATAGAACAAGGCCAGAAAGAACACCTGTATCCTTACTTGGCCTGCCCCAGTAGTGAGTATACCCCTTGATTTCAGCTCCACTGTCCAGTATACCACATGACAGACTTCTTAATCTTTTTTTTTAATTTTCTATACTTCTGTACCTTAATGAATTGTAAAAGTACTGTATAGTCTTCTAGGCTGAGACCATCTTGAGTGAAAACACTTTCTAATAGAACTGATGTGTGGTCGATTACATTCCTTTGGGAGTCATTTTCCAAATGTCTTGGGGCTCTAAATTTTTTTTTTTACATTATTCTGTGAGTGTGAGTGCTCACATAGAAGTCAGAGTTTGTGGGGTCAGTTTTCCGTGTGGGTTCTGGGAGTCAAATTGAGGTGGTCAGGCTTTCTGCTTCTCACTAACCTTTGGTTTGTTACTTTTAAGAAAAATAAATTCCATTAAACAGACCACGATGGGGGCAGCAAGTTAGTAAGTTCCAGACTGTGCTATAACCTGGGACTCACCTTACCATTGGGTCACAGGTACTGGTAGGGCAGAAGCACTCTGCTAAGGCAACAGCTCCAAGCAGGCAGAAGGCACTGCTCAGAGCAAAACAGAACCGGGCCTTGGTGTCTCCTGCATCGGCCACCAGCCTAGTGCATTGAAACACTGTTTTAACTTCACCTGCGATTAGTTTTCTGTCGTGTTCTTTGAACTTGAGTCAAGCTGTAAATTTCTCACCAGAACTGTTATGATGGGGAGTGTGGCATTTCAACTCGAGGTGACTGTAGGTTTCTAACTACAACCTTTAATAGGTCATTCCCAGAAGCACCATAATTCCCCAGTGGAAGCACTGTATTTGACCTAAAATTACTGAGTTGAGTGAAGCTTCTCTTGAACTTTTACTTTCCAGTCATTTCTTAGGCAGTATTTAAGGTGTGATGCATTTTCGTAGTAGTTGAGTAACTTTACAGCTTCAGTGTGGCACAGTTCACATGCTTAGGGTTTTGCCTTTTTAAAAAACACTTGTGTGGGCATGCTTGTGCCATGGCACACACATGGAAGTTGCAGGAGCTGGTTCTGACCTTCACCCTCTGAGGCAGCCCACAGGTCTCAAGTTGTGCCTTGTTATGCTGCTAAATACATAATTTGCCATCTTCAGTGGCTCAGAACACAAAGGCAAAGGGCCTTCCACCTCTCGCCTACAGACTGAAATGATGTAGGCCTTGCAGAACTGATTTTACAAGACTCGCTAGTTTTTTGTTAAGTGTTATGCCTGCACGTATGTAAGTGCAACCGTGTTGTGCAGTGGGCACGGAAAACAGAAGAGGGTGTTGGATTCCCTGGAACTGAGTTTTAGATAGTTGTTAGCTACCATATGGGTGCTGGGAATTGAACCTGGGTTTTCTACAATAACAGCCAGTGTTCTTAGCTGCTGAGACATCTCTCCAGCCCCAAGACTTGGTAGGCATTTTATACAGAGAACCAAATTACAGATGTTTCAAGGTGGTCATTTATCCTTTTGCTCAAAAGCTACCTTGAGGGCTGGGGGTGTAGCTCAGGAAAGTGCTTGCCAAGGTGTGGAAACTTGTCAAGGTCTGGTGGTGCATGGCTGTTATCCTAGCACTGGGGAAGAGAGGCAGATCCCTAGGGTTCCCTGACTAGCCCACCTGACCTGATCTGTGAGCCTCAGGTCTCAGTGGAACCATCTCTAAAAATAAGCAGGATGGCCCCTGGGGAACAACAAAAATTGACTTGTGCATCCACACAAATCCACCTACCTAGCTTTACTGTGGAACGCTGAACTCTCACCTTGAGAGCACTTAAGATAGTCTCTGCTCTCCCCTGTGGTGCTTCCACTAAGTCTCCTAGCCCTTGTCTACATCTGGGGTGTTTATCTGGTGGGAATGCTGGGAAGTGCTTGCTTAGCAGTAACAAGGCTAAGTATGTGTCTTAAGTACCAACTAGATGTGTGAGACTACCCCCTGGTACAACCACAGAGCATGCTTAAGACACCAGAACTGTCCCAGATGTTAACTCTAGAAGTTACGCCATGGAACTCCCATCTAAGTCACGTTTTCTCCCTCAACTTCGTGTCCTTGGAAAAGCTAGTTCCTGCAACTTGTTTCATCTAAAACACATGAAACACACGGAATACTTTGCACAAGCAGACTTCAAGGATTGAGTTAGTACTTTGTAAGAAAAAGCTAAAGATGGCTCTTTTGCAGGTACCTGGATTATCACTGTAGGACCCTCATGACATTTCATGTTCAGGTGTGGTAATAGCTTCCAATGAAATGCAGATTCTTCTGCTTGAAAAAGGTAAGCCTTGAGAAAAATAAAACTAATGACTGAAAGGAAAATGGATTTGCTGTGCTCCCTGCTGCTGAAGGGGCTTTATCTAATAGCCGTCTTCTAAACAGGTTAGCCTCCAACACTCATCCTCCTGCTGTGCGTCTTCCCTTTGGAAGCTGAGTGACTCCTGTGTGCGTTATCACATTATTTCTCTTTGAAAAAATCTGCTTCAAATTTTAACAAACTATTTCCTTTAAGGTATTGTTAATGGAAGCATTTTTTGATCAGTCCAAAGGACTAAACCAATAGGTTAGTAAATCAAAACAGTGGCTCCTCATCAGCGGGTTCCACATTGTGACATTCCTGCTCTATCACACCCACATCAACACCCTATCTGCTTCTTGGTCATTTCTGAGCATCCACACAGGGGTAAGAAATTAGAATTGTACTACGTCCTCCGCTTTCTTTCCGCTCCTGAGCAAGCATCCTGTGTCAGCTTTCATGTTTGCACTGTGTTGGTGACCTCTCCATGTAATGACCCCCTTAGCCATAGCGGTGGGTGTGTTCCTCAACACAAAAGACTATAATAAACCAAAGGTGGGCTATAGTGCTGACCAACCTTAGTTTTAATATTAATGCAGCAGCACACCAGATTTAGACATAGAAATGTCTAAAACCAGATTATGTACGGATTGCTTTAGTATGACCAGAGACTCCTGTCTCCTAGGAATAGTTAAATGCTTGCTAATTCAGGGTCAGATGATTAATAGAACAGGGGTGCCTTCATTTCACTTCCCTGGGACAGGAGGAGTTACTTTAGCAAAACCTCTGGAGGCTCATCTTCCTACTCAAACATGTAATGGCCATATTCAGACTTGAGCAAGGGTACAGAGTAGAAATAGCCAGTATACTTAGTGCCTTTAAATAGTCACACACTAAACGTGCTCACCACTGCGGCTGTTGCTGTGAAAGCAAAGTCTGCATGCTCTGTAATGGGAACTTCACAGTGAGCTCAAGTTTGAGTATAACTGATCATAATACAGAATATGGGGCCACAGCTAGGTGACTGACTTTCTAGACACTCTAAAGGGGCTAGCGAAATATCCTTGTTTTTTATTGAAAAACCTACACTCTGAAATGTTATTTTTTATAGTTTTAATGTATGAAAACTGAATTGCCAGTGACATACATTCCTTCAATTTCTTAGATCAAAGTTGTAGTTAGTTTGAATTACAGTAGTTGGGCCAGTTGTACCTTGAGCAGTTTACCTCCCAAAGGTAAGAATTCCTGCTTCAATAGTTGATGCTAATCCCATTTACCTGTTCCAAGAGTTTGTGGTGAGCTTTCAGAGGACTTTGCCTTTAAGAGCAACACAGGCACCAATTTGTTTGCTATGTAGTGAACACTTTGTATTCAAATCTCCAAATACTACCGTCTGACTTTGGAAGACACTGATTTAGCTTACGCCAGCCCATTTTCACAAATGAGCTCTAAAGCATTTTATTACAAAAACTGACATTCATACAGTCTTAACAGGAACTTGAAATTCATCGTTACTTCATTTTTTAGCTTGACCTTCTAGTAAATCTTTAGCTTCATTGATTTTGGCTGCTATGTAAGGAGATCCTCCTACAGAAGAAAAAGGGAGACAGTTTAGAACAGAGACCAAGTTTGCGAAACACTGCTCTATTTCAAGGATCCCTGGGCTAACTAGTGATGATGTCTTTATAGTGTTTTAAAAACCAACCATGACAGTAAGTCACCAAAATATCTGATAATATACTTGACCAATGGGAAATGAGGTATTTCCACACAGAATTTATACTTTTAGAAACCTTAAAATCCGACAGAAATAGAATTTAGCCCCTTCTATCAGATGTGCTTTCCAAACTAAGCCACTTCATAACAGGCCTTTAGTAGATGCTACTTAAGTTATTTTAAATATTTCCAGAGGCGTCTGAGCTTTTAAAGTCTGCTTTGCTTTACACACTTCTCAGTTCTCTCTCACTATGCTAGCTGAGCTCTCACAATGTCATCTAGATTTGCTGTTGAAATCTGATAGAGCAGTGTGCTCCTAAGACCAGCAAGCACTATCAACAGGAAACCTGGCAGAAATGTTATTTATGGGCTCTACCTAGACTAAGTAATACAAGCTAAATTTAAGGATTTGTATGCTAGAACAGACTTGTATTTTCTCAAAGGATTTTCACCAGTCAAGCAAGGTTCCTACAAAGTATCACAAGCAAATGTACATCTCACAGGTTTGTAGGTAATTAACAGTTCAAGACTCTACAATAAATGGGGGTGTGGGAGGGTCCTCCACTAAAACTTACCATTTGCTGTATTTATGAATCTAAGCAAAGCATACCAAAACTCAAAACACCCAAGTGTGCTGCACATCTGTAATACCATCGCTCTGGGCTAAGGCAGGAGGACCATTAGGTTCAGGCCAGCCCTGGCCACACAGCACCCTGTCTTCACTAAAATCTTAGCAGTGTTTGTTTGCAGGCTTCGTTACTGGAAGACATTTTATCGCAAACTGTTAATACTTGGCACCAAACCATACCAGTTGGTGAGATGGTCTCACTGTGCAGCCCAGGCTGGCCCTGAACAACTGATCCTCCTCCCTCAGCTTCCTGAGCACTGGGACTACAGATGTCATCCCATCGATTTACGTAAGAGAAAATCCAAGCCTGGGAGACTGCACGTGCATTTAGACATAACTGCCTAGAATGAGTAATTCCACTGCTTACAATTAGTCCAAGAACACATCAACACAAGTTTAATGGTTACCTTTGTCCGGATGGTTTAAGAGCATTATCCGTCGATGAGCATCTCTAATCTTCCCTTTATTGGCAGTAGGGCTAATGTGAAGAGGAAAAATTGTTCCTAAATACTGAAAAACTAGTAAGTCAAAAAAACCACTATGAAAGGCTACTAATGAGCCTAAAAGATGCAAGATGCACTTTTAAATCAGAACCAAATATGACACTGCTGAAAAAAACATTAAAAAATGTAACTGAACTTGATACTCTTCAACAGTTTTTATGGAAAAGGAAACCATGTTTACACATCTGGAAGCGACGGGGGACAACATTGGAGTCTGCCAGGCAAAATCCCAATAACTGCCTTATTCTCAGTTGCAGGAAATACTAATAGAAGTTACCCGGCCACACCCAACGTCAGTGAGTATAAATTCTCCTACCTCACACCTAGTATTAATGCTGCCTCCCGTTTTGTCATTTTGGGTTCAAATCCACCTCTGTAGTAGCCACCACTGAAGGCCTGGAAGAGGAATTGTAAGGGCAGATTAATAAGGTAAGTGGAAAGTTAATTTTTAAAAGGTCAGTATTCAAAAAATCAGTAGAAGAACATATTTTATCAATCACTGAACATTTATTTCTTCCAGGCAGTATCAAAGCTAATTCTTCAGAAGTGAAAGGAAGGCTACCCTCAGGGAGCGTCTTCCACGTGGAATCTGATCGGCCATGGCGGCACAGCGCAGAAGGGTCTGGGCGGCTTTTGCTCCCAGTGGTTCAAGGCCACCACTGAAACGCGTGCAGAAAACGCGCTCTCGGCCTTCCAGGCGCCCGTACACACCACGGCCTTGCGGTCCTTGACCTCTGCAGACAGGACCAACTAAGTCCACCCCTGCTCAGTCCGGATCCATCTTGACGTGACAACGGGGTATGGCTGTCAGCTAGAATGGTCCAGGGGCATCGTCCGCTGAGGCCAGGGCCAGACAAGGGGCGGCTGGGTACTGAAGTTAAGTACGAGCAGTTATGCAACTTCAGACGTTCTCGGTCATCACATGGAGCAACTTATTTATTAGTGTGGCCCACAGAGGAGCCAACGCAACCCCTGGACCCAAGGGACGTGTCCAAATTCACCCGTGTGGCTCGTCTCCACACCTAGCAAAGAAACGCTGAGCACTTACAGATTTTGGAAGACTTTGGAAAACTTGTTTTACTTGAGGCTCCACATGCTTCATGGCTTGCAGGACGTAACGGCCTAAAATCCAAAACAGCAGCGTCAGCCCGAGTCCTAGGCGCCTGCAGCACCTGCACCCGCACCACAGACCAACCTGCAAAGCCCGCAGCGGCGATGGTCAGTCCGACGGCTACCACGGTGCTGGCCTGGAGGAGAGAGAGCGGCTCAGTGCGCCTTCCCGGCCTCCACCGCTGGGTCATAGGACCTCCGCCTCCGCCCAGGACAAGCGCGGTCCCCCCCCCTTCGGTCGGCGCTTCGCCAGGCGGAGGGAGCACTTTCCGGAGGGTCTGCACCGAGCCCGTGGGCATCGCCCCGGCCCCGTATCCCCGAGTGGAAGGGGCCGACCGGGGAGGCCGGTGTCCTCGAGCACCGGGGTGTCGGGGAGGGCGGCGGAGCACCGAGCCCGCAGCACCCGGCCCCGCCGCGGGTCGCACGCAGCACTCGGCCCGCACTCACCATGGCTCCGCCCGAACCCACACGCTCATCCCAGCCGAGCTCGGCCGCGGGGGCAGCAGCGCCCGGAAACTCAGCAGTGGCGGCGCGACCGGCGCTGCAAACTGTCGCAAAAGAAGTCGTAAAAAATGCTGGGAGCCGGGTAGAGAGTAGGCGGGTCCTCTGCGCGCGGCCCGTCCCTCCGGCCCCCACCTCTGCACCCCGCCCTGCCGAGTGCTCGCATCCCCGTGGGAACCGGGCTGCCTAGTGCTGGGTGCTGCTCTGGGGATGCGCCTGGTCCCCACGTCCCCGCATCTGCTGCCCAGCGGAGAAGGGACCAGGAGGCCCTGATGGGCTGCCCGGCTCACTGGCTCATCATCGCCCTTTCCATCATCATCATCCATCATCATCTGCAGCGTCTCCCCCTCTCCATCATCTTCATTATCTCTGTCATCGCCATCATCTCTCCCGCTCCATCATCAACCTCATATTCAGTGTTCCAGTGTGGAAGCGTTTCAGGAAGTTTTATAGTAACAGAACAGAAGTCCTAACTTGACACTTTTCAGATGCATTGGTGGAGACATTAAGTAGCAGCTACATGAGGCGGAGCGTTATGGAAACGTGGGAAAAATCAGGAATTTTAATCTCTCCTCTCTTCTCTCCCCTCTCCCCTCTCCCCTCCCCTTCCTCTCCTCTCTCTCTCTCTCTTTCTCTCTCTCTCTCTCTCCCTCCCTCCCCCCTCTCTCTCCCTCCCTCCCTCCCTCCCCCCCTCTCTCCCCCAGGTTGAGGGGGCTGTTTGCAACTGTTTCCCCTCAAAAACTAGCCAGACTTGTTTTTATAACTTCTTGCTGTCAATATGGAATTGGCTGTAACCCTAACCCAAGGTATAAAATGGAAGAGCTCCTGATCTCCTGGGTCCCAGACTTTGAGACTTAATAGCCTAAATAGAACCTGCATCCGGACGCTTCCCAGGGTCTTTAGTGTCTTGTCTCATCCTTCCTGCAACAACAGCCAAAGAGAAATCTCTACTATAGGCCTCGGATACTGTGGATGACGCGCAGGCTTTTGGTTGGTGGGTCCTGGTGGTCTGCTAAGTTAATACGTTCCAAAAAGTTTTTTTTTTCCTAAACAAATAGCAAATGTAATTTTATTCAATGTTTTAAAATACAGATTTTGTGCAAACATATAATTTTCTATTACAATAAATTGAATTCTGAATTAAGAAAACAATACAGTCAAAAATTTACTTATTCGCAATGCAAAGCAACTTGCTTTGTTCAGGGGGCAGTCGATTTAAAGCATAATTTGGCTTTTACAGAGATGATTGCTATAATCCAGTGTAGAGCCACCTGGTTATGTCCCAATTCTGTCAAGCTATGTTCTTAGATGTGGAGGTGCATACCTGTAACCTCAGCACTCAGGAGGCTGAGGCAGGATTGCTGGTTTGAAGTCAGACTGGGTAATGTAATGAGAATTTGTCTCAACACACATACAAAACACATACGTATAAATGTACATACATATGTTGTCTAGAGGGTACAATTAATCACCCCATTATTTTTCTTCAGTGATTTTTCTCCCAATGTGGCAGAAATACTTCTTGATAGACAGAACATAGGACACTCAACTCCACGGAGCTCAGCGTCATGCCTACAATACAGGCTCGTCTGAAGGAGCCCAGCTCTAACTTGGAAAGTAACAACGAGGTGATAATTAACATCAGTACTAATTGTTCTCAAAAATGCACAACTTTGGATGTTTTTGCTTTCCGTTCTGCGGTTTGGGCACATCCAAAACTTCTTCATAGTCTGCACCCATTCCCTCTGCCCAGCAACCAACCGTGACCATTCGATCTGAATTCTGATTTTCAGAGCAATCTTTCTTAAAATGTTCCACAGAGCCACAAAGTTTACAACCGCCACCATCAGCTTAGACTCCTTTGGGATTCTCGGTACAGGATCTGGACAGATGCCCCATCTCTCCACAAACAAAACATTTTGCAAAAGGACATTCACCAAGAGCAGAGCTTACCTTTAGCGCTGTGCTTGCTTGTCACGTGCTCTGCAGACCCACAGTGGTAATGTGTGTGATTTTCAAGAGTGAGTGAGCAATCAGCAATTCCATGGCCTGGTTTTCAACAATGGAAACAAACCATTGCATTTTTCTTTGCTGCTTGTCTTTTTAATGGTCTTCCCTCCCATTGATTGTCTTTCTTTAAAGCAACTGCAGTCTCTTCCCTTACTTTGCTGTCCGGTGCTATCATCGCCCCATTGTGGACCATCTCTGAGTTCTGTCTTAGGTACTCCATGAGTCCATTCATGTCTTTGTTTAAATACTCTTCTTTTTCTTCTTTTTATGTTTTGCTTGGGGTACATCCTTCCTACGGGCCAGCCTATTGGCTTTAAGCTGCTTCCACTTAGAAAGGCTTTGGTTGCTCCCTCCACAGACTCCTTTTCCATGTCCTCCCGTGATGTTGCAGACAAGGGTCTCTTGTTATGTGTGGTACTAACTCTAGCCCATCTGGTCATGGTTTCATCAGCGGTGGTTTACCAGTCCCGAAAGACCCTCCAGAGCAGCCAAGAGAACCCCCAAAATTCTTTATCTGTTAGTCACAGGATGTTAAGTCAGAAACAGAGGTGGGTAAGGAGTGGCTATTTAGGAGGTAAAGATGGCCCAAGATAAATGGTAATTAGGCTCTGGACCTGCAAAGTTCCAAACTCTCTGCAATGGCTGAAATTCTAATCATTTGACCCGCCTTCACAGAACTTCAGTTAAAGTTTAACACAGTTTTTTTCCCTAGGAACTTTCATTTGCATAATGCTTTTTTTCTTTCCTTTTTCTTTTCTTTCTTTCTTTCTTTCTTTCTTTCTTTCTTTCTTTCTTTCTTTCTTTCTTTCTTTCTTTCTCTCTCTCTCCCCCCTCCC